CAGGGCAGTGAGGCAAGTCCTCAGCCCAGACCTCAGCCAGCACTCCACGTCCTGGGCTTGACCACCTCTCCACAGCAGTAAAAGGAAACAAGGTGGATCAGTGTTGATACGTTTTGAGGTCATAATGTGGAGTGAAAAATACAAGATGCACTGCAACAGCGTCCTTGCAAATCTTTTAACCAGGTACATGCACTGGTAGAAAAGTAGAATGCATGCATAAGAAGGATGGGCACTGACTTCAGGAGAGTGATTTCCTCTTGAGAGGGAGGGTGGAGAGTGAGACAGGGCTTCCAGGTAGGCTTTGGTGCTACCTGTAATTTTGCTTCTAAACAGAAACACTCAGAATAAATGTGTCAGGGTGCAAAAACATCTGTTAAATGTTGGCAGTAGGTGCAGGGATTATGTTCTGATTATTTGAGAAATTTCCTAATAAACCATTTAAAAAATGCCTGGGGGAAGGAAGAATTCTGTCAGTGAAAAGCTGTATCTACACCACCACCTGGTGATCTCCTTTCTGACTGCATATCAGAGCCTGGGCCCCAACTCTGACAAATGGTAGAGTTTCAGAAGATGCAGCCCACAGTGATTCTGACCCCAGCAGGGTCAGCTCAGATGTCATAAGAACAGCTGCCCTAGTCTATCTGACTGTGAAGTCTACACTGCAGGGTCTCTAGAGCAGCCCCTGCACCAAATGTCAGCCTTCAGAGCAGGTAGATTTCTGCTCCCATGTCAGAAGCTATACTTCTAGACCAGGTTTCTGCCAGGAGGCAATAGTTTCTGCTGTTGGGAGATCCCCAGTGCTACTGTGCTCTGGCCACAAGCAGAGCATCTGAGGTCATAGATCTACATATAAACCCAAAGCTCTCCCACTAGTTCCCTGCCTGGCTGCAATCATTCTCACACCCCAGGCACGATGCAGGAAGAAACACCGCCCATTCGACAGTCCTGCGTGGTCTCCCTATGGATCTGTTGGGGTCTCCTGGCTCTTACAAGCAGGGTTTTTCTTTTGTTTCATTTCAGACCTTCAAACTCCTCTTCTGAATCTGTTTGCTCTTGTCTAAAAGGAGGTGGAGAAAAGACCCCAAAGGAATCCACGCTAGTGCTTTCATGAAATGTGCCTTGAATTGCAGGCCAGGCTCCGAGGCTCACTCTTTGTGTCTTGTGAGCTTGGGTGCTCCTCTCTGGGCTAACGAAAGGCCCTTCTCTAGAGCCTCCCTGCCTGTTTAGATGTTGTGGGGAAAGAGCACCGCAGGGGACCCAAACACCAGGGTGGCATTTGCCTCTTGTTTTTGTAGTCGAGTGATCAATGTCACTTTAGGTTCCCAGCTCCTTCCTCAGGGGCAGAATGCAATACTGTGCTCACTGCAGGTACCCAGTGTTTGCTGATGAGAGGAAGGAATGAGCAAATGAAGAGTTTTGAGAAGCACAGGCACAACCTGGGAGCTGAGTGTTATAATTAGAAAACCAGGGCTAGTGCTGGGAACCCAGTGCAGGGGCCAGTTCCCGGTGCCTCCCTATCAGATGGGGCTGTCCAGGCTCCCAGACAGCTGGGCCTGAGCCAGGACTCAGCACACTGGCTCTCAGTGACGCCCCGAGGGGAAAGTCATCCATCATAGAAGGTAATGGTGTGTGGAAGGACCTGTCTACCCTCCCCCACCCCATCTTCCACAGACTAGTGGCAGTTTGGAAAGAATCTGAGTTTCCCAAGAGAAGAAAGGCCAATTTTAGAATAGTTCTCCTTTTTTTTTTTTCTGAGCAAGCTGTGGTTAGGGCATTCTGTACCGGTCAATGCCAAGGTGCTTGAGCTTCCTGAGACTCTGACCCCAGACCACTCCTGCAATCAGCTCCCCATCCCTCCATCTCTGCCTTCTCTCAGTGTCACCCAACTCAGAGGGCAGCAACGCTAATTGGGTCACTCCACAGAAGCCCTCCGTTCCCTGACCTCAGTCATGGGCTCCCATAGTTTCTCTGCAAGGAAAAGAGCCCTTATGAAGAATCACAGTGGGTCCTTCTTCTCTTCTGCATCTGTCTAGGATAGGTATACATCACAAGAAGCAGAATCATAGGAAAAGAACTTGCCACTCAGAAGGTGGTCCCTGCACTGCACCAGTAGCCTCAGTATCATCTGGAAGCATGTTAAAAAATGCAGAACCGGGCCAGGCGCGGTGGCTCACGCCTGTAATCCCAGCACTTTGGGAGGCCGAGGTGGGTGGATCACGAGGTCAAGAGATCGAGACCATCCTGGTCAACATGGTGAAACCCCGTCTCTACTAAAACTAAAAAAAATTAGCTGGGCATGGTGGTGCGTGCCTGTAATCCCAGCTACTCAGGAGGCTGAGGCAGGAGAATTGCCTGAACCCAGGAGGCGGACGTTGCAGTGAGCCGAGATCGCGCCATTGCACTCCAGCCTGGGTAACAAGAGCGAAACTCCGTCTCCAAAAAAAAAAATGCAGAACCTCAGCACCGCTGAATCAGAACCACTATTGTAAGAACGTACCCAGGTGATTTTTAAGCACGTTAAAGCTTGAGAAGCACGGTTTTAGCCCAGCGGTTCTCCAAGTGTAGTATGTGAACCAGCAGCATCAACCTCACCTGAGCACTTGGAAACTCACCCCTGATCTGCCAAATTAGAAATTCCAGGGATAGAGTCCAGCAATCAGTGTTTCAATAAGCCTTCCAGATGGTTTGAATGCACACTGAAGTTTGAGAACCACTGCTGCAGAGGATGCTTCTACTTTGAAGATAATGTAATGAGCAAAGAGAAGGGCACTGAGTCAAACCAAGGCGGAAGCAGCCAGGGCACCACCAAGTGCTCACTTTGGGTCTCAGCAAAAGCAGGAGCCCCAGGGTCCCTCTCTTTCCCTCTTTTAGCAAAGATTCAGAAGCTGTAATGTGGAAGACACTCATCTCGATATCTGGAAGGATGGGGAGGGAGGGTTGGGCAACTCTATGAGGTGATGTGGGCAACCTGGCTTCTGCCCTTGAAAGGAAGGCTCAAGGCGACCCACCTGAACCCTTCCACTGTGGCAGCTCTGAGGCCATAACAAACCATGGTATAATTCCCTGGTTATCTTACAGCTGCTTCCCTCTCCAGTTTTGAAACCTCAAGAGCCAGTCTGTGGCCTTAGAAGCCAGAGCTGTCCTGTGCAATCACGGTCTCCCACACAGCCACGAGTTGCTCCCTGGGATTCAGAGTCCTTGGCTGTCAAACAAGGGGTGCAGCTGAGTCCTAGGGTGCCTGGTCCTTTTGGGATTTCTGGCTTTTGTCCTGGGATGCCTTAGGGACAGCTTTGCTAGAGGAAATCAGGTGTGGATGAGGTAACTCTCATGGTGTCTTCCATTCCTTCAATTGTCATGTCAGGTGTTGAACACGTTTGCTGACTCTCATGCCGTTTCTCAAGGTGGTTTGTAGGGTTTTCTCTTGAGCTCATCTTTACCTGAACTGTTCGAGTACAAATCCTGGGCCACTTGGCTATAGGGTCCCTGTTGGTCAGCATGGACTTTGGCGTCCACGAAAGGGCTCAGAATGAGGATTGTGGCCCAGAACCGGCTTCTATGGCGATGCCCTCCTTCATCATGTGCATAGTATATTTTTGGACACCAAAGTCTTGTTGAGCACAGCCTTGCAGATTTTTCCTTTCTCATGGGAGCCTTTTCCCACCCAGAAATCCAAGTAAAGACAGATATCCCTGCCAGCCCCCAGGCTGGAGGGGAGAGATTGCTTAGTCACTTTTTACTGAGGTTACTGCCCTTTCCAAATGAGGTGGAGATTTTGTGGTTTCTTTTCACTGAAGATTACAGCTTAGCATAGGGTTTCAGAGCCAGATGCTTACGGCCTCTCTCCCGCCCTGTGTCTGATGCATGAAGCCTCTGGGCCCAGTTCAGGTCTGGTCTAGACGTCCCTTCCCCCAGCCACTGCCCCCACAAACTACTTCTATAAACGATGTCCCCCTTCTGGCTTTCAGTTCATCATTTCAGACATCTATGGATTATTCTTTCTCTTGCAAGCTCAAGTACATGTGTCTTTTTAAAATGTACCTTATTTGGCATTTTTATCTGCTGACGTGGAAGCTTACACTAGCCCAGCCCACCATATCTCTGTAACTCCAAGTCCCCGAAGACGCCATGTTGCATGATTCCTTTCTAGGCAAGGAAGCTATTTATTGGATTAGTAGAGGGAATCCCTCACCAGTCCAGACTTTCCCATGGGGTTCTGCTGATGCAGAACCAAAAGCGGGAGACAGGAAAATCCCCTTTCTCTGCGATCTCTGATCGAGAGGACCAAGCCACAGAAGAGCTTCATTCCTAAGACCTCCATCCCTGGAGGCTACCAGTCCTTAGCCCCCCTCCCCCCAGCTGGGAATGTGCTGAGTTCTCTCTTTACAGTCCCCCATTGGCTGGCAGAATGAACGGATGGAGAGTGGCCACCTGGTGACTCAGCAGGGTGGAGGGAAGCTGTGGATGAGAACCCCCGGCCGCCCTCAGGACACCTGCGGGTGGGGAAAGGATCTCCTTTCTTCTCCAGCCATGCAAGTTGCTTATCCCAGTTCCAGTGGTTTCGAAGACATATCCAGAAGATTTATGTGTTATGACGTAATTGAGGCGTAGGTAAAGGTGCTGAAGAAACAGAAGGAGGTATTAGCTAGTTTGTGGGGATTTTCTTTTGTAGACCAGTATTAATGTGCGCTGCCTTACACTGAAGAAGAGAAACCAGGGTTTTATTAATGTTAAAATTTCAGATGGAAGGTATGCTTTGGCATGGAATACAATTGTTGTCATCTTCACGTGGACAAAATAACACAATACATTGGGATTTTGACAGAAAAGAGGAAAAAGGAATTCCTCATCTTTCATAGAGAGAAGTTAACAGATATAGACCACACTTATAAGGAAATACTAATCTTAAAATTCTAAGTATATTTAAAGTATATTTATGTTTAAAGTAATTTTAAGTATGTTATTTAATGTCACAAAGATAACTACTAGAGAAAAATTAAAATATTTACTAATAAAAATTAAGATACAGATGTGACAGGGTATGAAGTTGCAGAATTCAATAAATCCTCCATCTGTGACATTTACTAGACAATGCTTTCTGTTGAAATTAGATAAATCAGTAATAGAAGCATAAACATTTTATTTTATACTATGATGGCAAACATGAGAAAAGCAAAAGCCAGAAACTAGTCATTGTGGTTATCTCTGGAGGGCAGAGGAGGGAGAATTTTCTCATTTCATGCCTTTCTGTGACGTAACTATTTTTTAAGATCATGGGCATGCAATTATTTCTATAATAATAAAAACCACTTAATGCACTTAATGGGTCAGAGATAATTGTATCTTGGTCTACAGAATCTGGACAGAGAAATGTTTTGATTTCTAGGACTGCCAAATCTAGCTTCTTAAACGAGATAAAGCCATGGAGGTCAGGAAGGATAAGCTGGCGCTCTGTGACAGCTGGTGGGAGAAGGGGCAGATAAGGCTCGCCTCGCTCCGGGGGAAGGAGCGTGGGAGTGAAAGAGGATGGCTGAGTTCGTGTTAAAGGGTCAGGCTACTGCGGGCACATTGTTTCTTCAAAGGTGTCCACGAAGACTATCTGGAGAGTAAGAATTTTCTACCTAGAGAACAGGAAAAAGAGACTAGAGAAAAACAAAGAAAGAAAACCACATCAGAACACTGTTACTGTATTTTTCTCTTGGTTCTGTTGTTCCGCACGATCAATAATTGGCCTTTTTGACTATTTTAGGGCCCTATACCAGAGCCCTTAATTTCTTTAAATTAAGAAATAGTCTAGAGAAAATAAAAGACAAAAGATGTGTTAACTCAGATGCCATTCTGTGAAAAGGAAGAACTCTCCAGCACGGGTGAGATTCCTACTAATGAACAGTGATGGCAAATACAAGCTGAGACCCTAGTCCTGACTCTTAATAGGGGGCTCTTTGTTCCAAAGGAAACTTCTTCTGCAGCGTCCCTAAAAAGCACAGTGCCAGCACCCCATTCCTCTGCGATTCCCACTGTGTCCCGGCCTTTGCCTGTGCTTCACAAAGCTTTGTCTAGGAGCCTCCGTCCTTGGCCCTTTAGGAACCTCAGTAGAAATGCCAGAGCTTCCCAGTGGGTTTCCAAAGTGGTAGTCAAATTTCTGATTTCTTCTTCATTCATTTTAACACAGAAAGATGTCCTTTTTCTTCCCTCCTGACTAAGGTACCAAGAAGTTGCTCAGGTCCACCATGGGAGGGTGGAGAAACCCTCAGGATTGTGCAGCCAGTGGGAACGTACACTATTGTCCTTCTGCAAAGCACCCCTCCTTTCCCCATCCTCCACAATGCATTGGCCCAAACCACCACCTCGAGCCTTGATGTTGAAAATCCAGCCCTCATGTTGTGCTATACGTGTCAACCCTCACTTATGCTTCTGATTTCATCTCTTTCTATTTGTTATGCATCCTGTGCTAACCTTTTTTCTGGATACTGTGGAAGCTTATGCCTCTGTGTCTTGGCACCTCCTCTCCTCTGTGCCTGGAATGGCCTTCTTTGCCTCTTAAGTTTTCAAAACTTTACTTGATGACTGCTCTTGCCATTAACTTGTGGATCCTCTGGGCTGTCGGAGCACTGTACGTTAGTCTTGGCACATTGCATCTCATTCATGTCTGACCTCTCCCAGATTCCCTTAAGGTCAGAAACTTGTGTCTCATCAATCTCTATGCCCAGCCCCTGGCACAATCATGCCATCCCAGCACACACCAGGAGGCTCCCACATGTGGTAGATGTGAAGCTGAGCTTTGGAGTCTACCTCGATAGAAGTCCCAACTCTGCCACTTACTTGCTGTGGGATTGGGGCAAGTTAATCACTTGTGCAATGTGGATTGTCTCCATTTCATTGGGTTGCTGTGATGATTAAATCAGATTGTTCCTGTAAAATTCTTTGTGCATGTATTATGTGCTCATTCAAATTCAACTAGAATTATTAAATGAAAGGAATGTAGTGCACAAATTCAGACTTTTTTTTCTGCCCACACTTTCTCTCATTTTTTCTAAAACTCCTAAACTACGTAGCATGAGCTGCAAGAACTTTTAGAGCTTAGAGACAGTCCCTAAAGTCACAAGAATAAACCAATCTTCATGTGCTCAAAAATATGCCTCCCGTGTTGGAAGCAGTGACAGGTTTCTGGAGAGGCTGGCTTTCCCATTGCCTGTCTCCAGACTGCTAAAACAGGGTATCATTTGGAAAGTCCTCTAAAGATGGAGGTCTCCATTCCGTTGGCAAGCACATGTCAACCCTGGAGTGTTCTTTTTCCTGTCTCATTTCCATCCATCACAATGAGTGTAGTTTTAGGCCCTCTGCCCTTATTCTGTCACCACAGACTTATACTCCATAGAAAACTGTTTCAAAGCCTGCAGCGTCTTCTCTGATTCTCCTGATTAGGGTTTTTGTTTTTTTGGAGGGAAAGGAATGAGTTTCCAGCAAAGGCTGGAAGGTGGAGCCAAACCTCAAACACGGTCCTTGGGTGCCACCTGCTGGTCAAATGCCATATCGCAACCATTTTTTCTTCCGTCCAACAGTCCACAAATAAGCAGAAAAGAATCACTATTCAATAGATATTTTTGACTTGTTTTCATGAATAAAGGTAACTGACTAGCCAGGTGATCAAACTCCTGAGACGATAAACGTGCTTCAGCTAGCTGAGCTCAGAAAATCCAGGTGACAAAGCAGAGGTCCCGGGAAGGAATGAGTTTGGGGTGAATCACCCGCCTCCCAAGCCCGAAGGAGAGCACTACTGTTCTCTGTACATGCAAAGGGTGAGTTGATTCATTTTTTTATTACAACTTCATGGTGTCACAAAACCATTCTCATCAGCAAGGCCCCACTAACCATGACAATGACCACAATTCCACGTTTCCTTTGTCTTACTCTCTACTTTTACAAAGTACTTGTGTTATTTGAAACTGACCCTAGAACCCCGTAAGGGGCGCAATGCCAAGATTATTGTCTCAGCTGTTTAATAGAGGAACTGAAATGTCTGCTCTGACGCCAGACTGCTGTGCGATGCTGCTGCTGGGACGACAGTGCAGACACCTTCCCTTCTGTGGTCCTGGTTTTGCTATTTTCAGGCTGCAGTGACTTCTCCCCTCAGGCCCTTTTCCACCAACCTCACTTCCCTCATGGTTCAAGTCCTCCTGTCTCAACTGCACTTACTGCAATGATGCTGCCTTTGGGTCCCTGATCTCCAGTTTCTTCCCCTTTCATTCCCTTCCATGGTGGAGTCAGTTATATGTTTAAGATAAAGATCCAATCACATCCTGGTTTAAAACAAAAACCAAAATAAAACTGCCATGGTTAACTCCCTTGGCCTCCTGCACAACACCCTTGACTCCTGACTGCATCGACAGCCTCATCTCCAGCTCTTCTCCCGCATGCCGCCTGTGCCCACCACACACCACATCTGAGCTCCAGACACACAGGGTCGCTGCTCTCCATTCCCCATACCCTTCCGCCGCCCACCTCGTTCATTCCCTCTGGCAACGTGCTTTCTTCTCACTTCTGTCTGTCCAGTTTAAGCCCCCTGTGGGCTGGCCATTCGGCTGTCTCCTCCAGCTCCATTCCTCACTTCTCTGCCTTGCTTTGTGTCCTGGACACCGTCGCCCAGGCCCCATTCTCTCTGGATTCTAGTTGGCTTCAGCCATGAATCCTGCGCTAACTGGAGATCAGAGAGCAAGGTCCTGGTGCTCACAGTTCTCCCTGTGATTTGGGGAATGGGTGCATTTTTCTTCCTGGGCCCCAGTCCTGTAGCTGCCCTTCTCCACAGCCGCAGACATCTGCAGGTTCTGGGCATCCCACACTTGCTCCGGCCACTTGGCTCTTCAGACCTAGAGGTATCATAGCATTCTGCTGCTCCCGGTGACCTGTTGGCTCTCATGGCACTGCCCACACGTCTGTACCTGGTCCCTTCTTTAGGCTCTGCTTGACATTCCTTTCCAGTGTGTTCTGTGTTCTGCCAGGAAGACCCTGACTGATATAACCTCTTCCGTGAGGCCTCCCCTGCATCCTCCGTCCTTCCTGCTAACAGTCATCAGTCCCACAGAGAGTGCTGTCCATGCATGCTACCTCACAGTATCGGTGGTTTGCATCATTAGTGACTCCATGGCAATGCTTCTTTCATTCATCTTTGTATCCACAGCCCTCCAGTATGTGGTCTGGCATGCAGTATGAGGTCAAAACGCTTAATGAATGAATCCATGCACATAAGAGAGGCTTTGTTGGAAAGGCTGTAGTTGAATGACATCAAGGCTTTGGGTTTGAACTTTATATGGATCAGTTGATTTTATGAAGAGCTTATGGCAGAGACTCTACCCTCATTCTGGTCCGTCGTTTAAATGGTTTCCCTTGAAGTGTAGATGGATCCACCAGCTTCTTCATGCCCAAGAGAGTGCCCTGCTGCAGAACACATAGACTCTTGTGGCGCAGCTTTTGAGGGAAAGCCCGACCACCGCTGAGAGCCATTCTCTGCAATATATGAGAGTCCTGCGATGTGATGTGCATGGAGGCACGAAGCTTCTGGAGGTAGGAAGAAGTGCTTCAGAACCAGAGGTGTCAGCTCAAAGGGGTGTCTGCTGATGAGTCGGCGTCATCAGGCTTCCTCACTGTAACCAACCTACATGAATCAATGACTACACTGAACTTCTACGGGGAAAGCTGGGCTGGCCAAGAGGCAGAGTATGGGAGCTCCCATCACCGGCTTCACTGATACAGGCTCGTTCATTTCACAAGACGCGGAAGCACAGAGACTTTCTGGAGATCATTGGGAAGGAAAAACCTGGGAGTGGGCACTAAGATGGGTTGTTGGAGATGGAAGATGAGAGTGAAACTTCCATTCTACAGAAGAAGGGGTCAAGACTTGGAGATGCTGTGTCTCTTGTGTTGCTTAGTCCCCAGACTGGATTTGGGGGTCAGAGGTGCACAGAGAGGTGACGGGCTGGCCCTGATGCCCACACACATCAGCTCTTCATTCGAAGGCTCCGTAGGATCTGCTTCCAGGCCTTTCTGTGATCCTCTAGGCCAGGACAGGAACAGCAGGGCAAATCTTCTTCAAAAGATTTGGTTTATTTGCCACTAGAGTAATTCCAGACAGATCAAGGATGCAAGGCTTTGCAGGGTATTTGGGAAGTTGGGCTGGGATTCAATTTTTGTTATGGTTAATCAAGAGTTACTTCTGTGTACCTGGAAGGTATTCATTACAAGTTGGTGAGTAGATTAAAAGACAAAGACGGCCGGGCGCGGTGGCTCAAGCCTGTAATCCCAGCACTTTGGGAGGCCGAGGCGGGTGGATCACGAGGTCAAGAGATCGAGACCATCCTGGTCAAATGGTGAAACCCCGTCTCTACTAAAAATACAAAAAATCAGCTGGGCATGGTGGCGTGTGCCTGTAATCCCAGCTACTCAGGAGGCTGAGGCAGGAGAATTGCCTGAACCCAGGAGGCGGAGGTTGCGGTGAGCCGAGATTGCGCCATTGCACTCCAGCCTGGGTAACAAGAGTGAAACTCTGTCTCAAAAAGAAAAAAAAAAAAAGACAAAGGCACAAACACAGTATTTGTGGACAGAGCCGACTTTACAAGTCTCCCTCCCTACCACACTATCCATAGTCAGTACCCGGAAATCCCCTCACAACTGGTCCTAGGTCTTCGCCCAGCTTCCCTGTCAATGTCTGGACACCTAAACCAGCTTCCTGGTTTTCCTCCAGACTCCTTGCTTCTTGGCCCTCAGGGGGAGAGAGAGAGAGAGAGAGAGAGAGAGAGAGAGAGAGAGTGTGAGAGAGAGAGAGAGAGTGTGTGTGTGTGTGTGTGTGTGTGGTTGGGGACGGGGCGGGATAGGCAGTCTCCCCCCATTGCTATTTTGGGAATTCTAAGCCCATCGCTGTGAATGAAGTGACATTTGCCTTCCCATCCTTGTTCTGAAAAGAGGCTCCTTTACACGGACTATATTTCTAGTTCCCCTGTGGTCAGTCACTTAGAGCAGCCGATGAGGGAGTTGAGAAGGCCGTGCGTCGCCTCTTGTATAGAGCAGTGCGTTTGCACACTGGAAACTTTTTGCACATGCAGGGCTGGCAGGCCCCTGAGGTAGGGATTTCAGTAGCTTCACAGGCTGATGCTTCCTCCTCAATGCCCCAAGATCCGTGCAGGAAGTGCAGGCTTCCTTAAGAGGTCCTGCGAAGATGTACCTCTGTGAAGACCCACCGTATACTCAGGGAGTGACGGGGCCTATTCCCTGCCCCTGACCACAGGCCTGGAACAGCTGAACCAATGACTAATTGCAGCAGCCCCTGCCTTGCTCACAGCTCCACGTGGCTGAGTTCAGCTGCCTCCTGTTCTTAGGGGTCCATGAGGGACCCAGGAGCTGGATGGGGAGGAGCAAAGCCACCTGTGCAGGGGTCCTGCCTGCATATTCTCTCCATACCTCTTCTTTCCCTCAGGTGACTGGGAAGTCTGGACAGCACCCATACCAAGGGGAGGATGTCTACCTGGAAACAGGTATGTATATCTGCATTCTTTATTTAAGGGACCTAAACTTGCCTGGTGGCCCAGGCCGGTCTCAAACTCCTAGGCTCAAGCTAGCCTCAGCCTCTTGAGTAGCTGGAATCACGGGCCGCCTCTGGAAGCATTTCCGTCTCCCTGCATCGCCGGCGGTCCACCGACTCAGCACTGTGCCTGCTGCTGCCTGTGTTCTGCTCCCTGAGGTCCTGGGCCCCCAGAGGCAAGCGCCCTGTGCTCAAGGGACCATGCCAAGCATGTGAGTGCTCTTCAGCCATCACAGGCCACAGGAGGGGAGTTGAAGGTGACTGGGCACCTCCTGGTCCACTTGCCCCATGGGAGGGGAGGCCATGACTTCATGAGAGTGGAAGGGGAGGCGCTCACTGACTTGCACAGGGGAGATGTTCCCTTGTTCAGGTGAGTCTCTCCTTCACATACCTGCGGCTGGGTCTGTGATGTGGCCTGATGTGGCAGAGAGAGCCAGAGGCCGTCGCCAGGGTTCCAAGTATCCCCTTCCTGCTGCTGGTGGTGCCTGACTTCCTGGTCCACAGGCCCAGGCCTGAGTAAGCCACACAGGGTGATTCTTCCATCCTCCAAAACCATCCAGATTCCACTCTGGGCAGTGGTTTGGCAGTGTGCCCAGTCAGCCTTTCCTTGACTTCCCACAGCGGCTGCAAACACTGGCCTCGTCACACTTTCCAAACGCTTGTTCAAGGCCATGAAACAAGGATGCAGGGGATGCTCGTTTTCCCGGCTGTTCTTTTAAACAGCTTCCTTGTCTGTCTCTCTGCGGGGTGAACGTACTCTGAGGCAGGAAGGCCACAGGGCCCTTTCTGACCGTCCTCCAGGGGGCTGCAGGGATGTTTGCGCCCCACCTCCCAGCCCCGTGGACTGGCATGGTACTGGTTGCTACCAGGGCGGCGTGCAGAGTCCTAAAGCCGCCCTTCTGCACTGGGGTGGTGACTAAGAGGTTAAAGTTAACTTGTCCTAGACTATGTCAGGCTGCCTCCCCAGGCAAGGAGGTAGCAGCCAGCTCTGGCCCAGTGCCAAGAAAGCCAGTCCCCCCTGATGCTCCCCAACTGTGAGCACCAGTGGGACTCTAACCGCTGGCTTGCCACATTATATGACTGGAATTGCAGTGCTTGAGCCCAGCTCTTTGACTCCCCTCAGGAGGGGAGCGCCTGGTGCTCTGCACAACCACAGATGCAGAGCTGGCCAGATAGAATGGGGGCCAAGGCCTTGCCATGTCCCACTGTGGCTGTATCCTGGCCCTGATCCTGCCTGGCCGGTGGCTTCTGTAATCAGACGACTCACAACCGTTACACCCAATAGCCAAGATCCCTGTCCCAGACCCTGGCAACTAGCCTGCTAATCTCTGGTAATGTCCCGGAAAAAAGTGGATAAGAGAGTCCTGTCCATTGCCTCCATTCCTGTCTCCATGAGCTCCCCCAGGGAACACTGCTCTTGCAGCTATGGAGTGTGCTCACACACACTATGCTTAATATTTGGCTGTATTTCTTTCTGCTCTTTTTTTGCAGTGTGTGTGTGCAGGCATGTGTGTATGTACATATGTGTGCAGACGCTTGTGGGTATATGTAAACAAAACTAGGATCATCGGATACATAGAGATCATTACTTTTATTAATTACTGTTTTATTTGGGGATGATTCTTGCTAATTTACAGAAAAGTTGCAAAACTAGTGGAGTTCCTCAACACCTGCCATCCAGCTTTCCAAAGTGTTAACAACATCTTGTATAGCGAAAACCAAGACATGAACATCGGCACATTACTATTTACTGAATGATGGGCTGTAATTTAGATTTCACTAGTCATTCTATTAATGTCCTTTTTTCTGTTGCAAGATCCAGTACAAGATATAACACTGCATTTAGTCTTCATGTCTCCTTAGCCTCCCAGTTTCTCAGCTATTCATTGTATTCCATGACCTTGAGAATTTTGGAGCACAGTGGTCAAATAGTTTGCCGAGCGCCCCTCAGTTTGACTTGCTTGATGTTTTCTCATGATTAGGCTGGGGTTGTGGGTTAATGGGAGGACGACAGAGGTGCAGTGCTCCCTCACTGCACCATAGGAGAGGGTGTCACGTCAACACGACCTACCACGTGGCTATGACTGTGGTTTCTCCACTGTGGAGTTACTGTGTTCCCATCCTATATGCTATTCATATAGGATAGCATGTCACAGTCCAGCCTACACTCAAGGGGAGAAGGATTAAGTTCCAAACCTCCTGAGGTGGAGAGAGTATCTACATATATTGCCTGGAATTTTTCAGAGTGAAATATTTGTCCTTTGTCTCTTATTTATTTATTTATTCAATCATTTCTTTATATCATTATGGAGCCATGGATATGCATTTTATTTTGCAGGGTTATAATTATTCATGTTGTCACTCAGGTTGTCCCAGTTTGGGGATGGGGGTCTCTTTCAGCTTAGCTCCAGTGTTCTCCAGCTTACCCCCATTCCGTCTCTTCTCTCTCTTTCTTTTTCCCTCTTTCCTTCCTTCCTTCCTTCCTTCCTTCCTTCCTTCCTTTCTTTCTTTCTTCCTTCCTTCCTTCCTTCCTTCCTTCCTTCCTTCCTTCCTTCCTTCCTTCCTTCCTTCCCTTTCTTTCCTTTCTTTCCTTTCTTTCTTTCTTTCGTTCTCCTATTTTCTGGCCTTGTAGGGTTTGT